AATCAAAACTCAATTTGAAGTAAAATCTGCTGAAGCAAAGGGTGGTAGTGTTATACCCAGATTGCAGAGTCCCCCAAAACCACTAAGGAGCCAAGTTCGATGCAGAAACAAAGAGCCTTTATTCAAACTGGAACCTGGGCTCTCAGGGACCCGACACAACAGGCAGGTCTCGGCTGAGAGCCCCACCTTGCTATTGTCTGTTTTCTTTAAAAGGGTTGTATATTATGGGATAGAATAAAATGTGGGTGGACATTGCTACCAGAGGTCTCAGGGGTTGGCCTGATTGGCTGAGTTCCAAGGAGGGTGTCCCAGCGCTTTTGTGGTATTTGTGGAATTTCCTGGGACCGGGAGCTTTCTGTAGGCGGAGACTTCCTACAGGCTTCTCTGTGGCAGGTTTTTACAAAATGGAGTCACCTCTGTCCTTTTAGTAGGGATTTTAAGAGTCAAGGTGAGGCAGAAATCTTATAGCAAAAGAAATTAAACTTTCTTCAATCTGTAGAAGTTGGTGATGAAAATGAGGTCATTCTTGTCACATCCAATTTACACATAGCTGAGAGGCCTGGGGTGGGGGTGGGGGAGTACTTAGAGCACATACCATTGCTCCAAAAATATAAATTCTCTACAAACCTGGCTGCTAAAACTGCCCATTGTAGTCTGAAAACAGTTTTATCTAATAGTTAACGAAATACACTCAGAATAACTGACAACACAGTTATTGAGACTGAGATTCTAAGACTAATTTTATCCACCACTGTAACTCAAAAATAAGGACTTGCTAACCCTTCTAAATTTTACTAGTGCCGACAAACTTCCTTTTAAAATAACCCATAACATTTCTCCTTCTTATAAAACTTCCAATCTTCTCTTTGTTCTTCAATAGAAGATACCCAGTCTGTGTATATGCCTCCAAATTTACAAATTTTTCTTTCAAAATAATACATTTTAAATTAAGAGATTCATCTATTTTGTTTGACTTTGACAGATTTCATAACAGGAGAGAGTTTACAATGAAGAGCCAGATATCCCACTAAAGTTAGACTCCTACTTCAAACAGAGATTGGGAAATAACCCCTCCATGGCCCCCACTGCCAATTATCATTAAGAATTCCATTTCAAGGAGGTGGCTCCCAGGTCCTTGAGAAACACCTTTCTGATTTGTAAAACCTGTTTAGAGATCACCCCAAAACCTGCCCCTTTCTCTTGGTTGGTTCACTGAAAGATCAACTCACAATTATATTAGATTAATAAGAGAAAGGTTTATTTCCAAATACCATGCGTGGGCGGGGGAAGCCACAAGTATGATTTCCCAAAGTATTAGTGATGGTCAGAGACCTTTATAGATGCCTTTTGGATAGGAGGGGGGAGAATATGGAAAGTATAGGTGCTGTAAGTGGTTGCTAGGGGGTGTGTATAGATGAGTGGAAACAGATAGATTTGTAAATTAACCTGGAAGACAGGTATTGTGCTTCAAATGACCTTGAGGCCAGGTCTGTTAACATGTAATAAGGGAGTCAGCAGCCCCTTTTGATTCCCAATCAGGTTATTCAGGTTTTATGTAGATAGAGAGGAAAGGCCTCCTTTAATGCTTCCTGATCATAAATGGCCTTTAATTCAAAATATTCTATATACCATGGAGCCATCTTTTAGGGCAAAATTTCCTTAGCTCCTTTACCTGTAATCGGCTTTTAGAGAGATTTCTATCTCAAAGGGCCAGAGAAAGAATTTACAATTAAAAGTTTGCTAAAGTAAATGCTTTTATAAAAGCAATAATGAGCATCTTAAAAGTCAAGCATAAACCTGTTAAGAATTTATTCATTTATTTATTTATTTTTTATTTGTTGGGGTTCATTGAGGGTACTTGGTAGAATCAGATTACTGTTATACCCAGGGAGAATTGAGTGTCTGCCCCTCCTAGGAAGTGGTGGTCAGACCAATCCTAGCCTCCCTAACCCTTTAAATCCCCATCCACCATACCCCATGTGTGGAATTCCTTTTTTGACTTCACCCCACCTGTGCCCAGGGTAGAATTAAAGACACATTGACCACACAAGAGGACTTCATTTTCCTTTCATCTCACACCTTAGAATAATCATTCATCTTTGAGTCTATAACCTCTCCATACTGAATTAGGTTACACTGATTGCATGTAGTTAACTCCTACAATTAGAGTTTAGAGTTTAGTCAGGCTGAGAGGAATATTAAGGTCATCTCAGTTACTTTCCACAAAATATAAATTAAGGGGAGAGGAGTAACTTCATAATGAATTCAAGCAGAAATCATATTAATCAAGTGAGTGAAGTAAATATCAATAATGGGGCAGATAGAATTGTGTGCCACCTGAAATGATGCTGTGAGAAAAAAATTCCACTGTATCACATTTGTGCTGTTCCTTACAAGGAGGCATTGCCTGAATCTAACCTTGAGAAAGAATCAAATTCCAATTGAGTGAACATTTTCTAAGATAACCAACCTGTAATATTCAAAATTGTTAAGAACGTGAATGTCAAGGAAGGTTGAGGCATATTTTCAGACTACAGGACACTGAAGACAAATAGTCATTAAATGCAAATGAAGGGGGCCTTTTGTAGGGCAGGGGAGAGTGAGAGATTAGAAAGTGGCCCCTGGTGAGATGGAACTAAAGGAGGTTCCACAGCCTCACGATTTGTGCAATCAACATGGCACAGTCCCTGGGGGTGGGGACTGGGGTTAAGGCTAGAATAATTAAAATGAAAAAGAATGGCCAAGCATTTGTTAAGGAACACAGAAAGGCAAGATCCTATTTCCTTAACATTTAAAGCTGAAGACAGCAATAAAGGGCAGAATGTTTGACTAGTTTGAAAGTTTAATAAGTCAGATTAGAAAACACTCATTTGGGCTTATTAGAATAGAACAGTAGTTTAGATTAGAAAGTAGTTGACGTTTACCCCTTGGGTTAATATATGTTCTTTTTAAAGGTCAATTTTAAAATAGTCCTGTTATCTGCCTCCCCATACTTTGTTTACCCAGGCTTTGATGTTGACACAAGATCACCCCTGTGTCACAAGTATGATCAAAGTTCTTTCCCTGCCCCAAAATTATCTTGATGATTTCAGTATTATTTATTATTCAGTATTATTTAGAAATGTTAACATTGTTAAGAACACAGTAAAAACCGCATGAGATTTTAGGTTGGTGGTGGCACTTCCTTGCCATCCTATTTGCACTTGTAAAGTTGTATGTCTCTCCCAGCCTCATTGATTATTGCATTGCTAATAGTTGAGTATGTGAAGTCTTCTTTACCACATCTGCCACCTCCCTACTGGCCAGCACTTCAGGGTACAAAAGGGGGCCTCAACAAAGATGGAGATGGTACCCTGTACCATAAGCTTTATGATACCATAGAAATGGGCAAGAGGTCAACTGAAAACTAGTGGCATCAGGGAAATAGGTGAGAGGTTAATTGAAAACTAGTAAGAACCTTGGAAATGGGTGAGAGGTCCACTGGAAGCTATGCGCTCCTATGTCACATATGTCAGAAACAAGTGTGATGATTGGTGCAATGTAGAATCCTTACTTTGGTAAAAAAAGACCATACATTAACTATACTATTGGTACCCTATAGAATCCTTATGTTACATATAGAAAGAGTCAACCACGGAAATAGTAAGGGGTCAACTAGGAACTATGCATTCCTATATCAGGCACATTAGGTGCAAGTACCATGATTGGTATAATATAATATCCTTACTTTACATATAGAAAGAGCCAACCAGGAAAAGGGAATGTATGGGAAAACATATGAACCCTTAGAAAAAAAGATAAAAGTGGCAACCAACTTGGGAACCCTTTGCTGCACTGTAACCTTTTTTCTTTCCTTTTTAAAATCTAAAATCCTTTGCTTTTGTTTACTTGTGGTCCATAAATGCATTCTTTGATTTCCAGACCAAGAACTTGGAGGGAACATTCTGGTATCACTGATGTTGATTCTGAGCTGGAGGCTTTTCTCTAAAGAGCATTAGTTTGTTATTTGAAAGACTTGCAAGGAAGTCTAAAACTTTATGATATACTGATTCTGATAATTGTATTGTGGTTGTGTAGGTGCTTTTTATACACTGATTCTGATAATTGGATTGTGGTTGTGTAGGAGCTTTTTTTTTTTTTTTTGGTACGAAAGGTCTTTATTTGTGGGGAAGGGAGGCTGCAGAGCAGCACCAAGGAGGAAAGAAAAGAGGAGATGTGAAAAGGAGAGTGAGGAGGAGAGAGAGCGGGGGAGAAGAGAAGAGAGCGCTTTTTAATTACACATTAAAGTATCCAATTCTACTTGACATTTAATAATGAAATGTATTATAATTAATTCTCAAGAGATTTGAAAAATAAACTACAGTCTTTTACTGTATCTGGTATCTTCTTATAAGTTTGTCAGTTTCTAAATGGAGGTTTAAAAAAAGTGGAACATATAAAAATCAGATAAAATCTAAAACAAACAGCATATTTTAACATTTTTGCCCATACATTTATGGTTTATATCATAGAAATAAAATTTTTACTATTTAACTAAATATTCACGATACTTATTGCAGCAGAGTGCATAGTAGCAAAAACCTGGAAACAAAGTTAACGCACAACAATGAAAGTGTGAAAAATATATAAATCCACACCATAAATCAACACTTAGAACTACATGAAATTTTCTTAAGATATTACTGAGAATAAAAGAGGCAAGATACAGTAAAACAGGTATGATATGATCACATTTGACATAAAATAAACAATGCATAAAAATCCTGGATATAATTACATGAGTTCACATTGGATTATATTACCACACACACACAAATAACTGAAGGGAACACTTGAGTTTGTTAATATGGGTTACTCTGTGCTTAGGACCAGTATAGATGATGGAAGGAACAGAGAGGAGAGATTTTAGTGTTTAATCTCATGTTAAGTCTTATTACTGGAGTTTTATATTATAATCTGATAGGCCCAGTCATTATTATTTCATTATCAATTTTATTAAACTAATACTGGCAGATCCATTTGAAAACACTGCTGCATGTTTCAGAGTACATTTTGCTTTCCTTAATGGCAGCACAACTGTTTTCTTTAGCTGGTCCCTTTATGAGAAATCTAGGGCAGGGAGAATAAATGCATTGTTAATCATTGTTGCAAAAGACATGCATCAGTGTTTCAGCTAATAAAAAGTTAATTTAAAATTTCAAAAAAATTTTAAATACCTTGATTCACTAACCATTACAATTTTTCTATAACTTATTATTATTATCAGCAATCGGTACAGTGTTTCCTGAGTATATCTTCAAATAACAGAGATAAGAATAAATTTCTCTCCACATTTTCATTCTAGTATTATTTCTATTACCCCTGTGGTTCACTTAGACTAAAAAATAATGTTAAGTCCACTTGGAAGGCTCATTTAACAATCACTCTTGACTTCTTGTGTTTAATTATACAATGGTGATGATAATATGTGGTTACTTACTTCATCATATTATTACAGAGATTACATTAATTGAAGTTTGTACAGAACACAATAGACAAAACCCATGTAAGTGCTAAATAATAAATTGTATTTTTACTATATTATTTACTTCTAAATATGTTAACCACAGTAATAAGGTAATCTATAAAATACTGTAGTGTTACTAATTTATTCTGTGAGGAATTTGAAGCGTGAAAAAAGTTCAAGGAAGAATATTGGAAAAGGTACACATGATCTTCAAAGTTTCCAAATTGGGCTTTGTGCCTGTAGCTTAGTGGTTACAGCACCATCCACGTACACTGGGGCTGGCGGGTTTGAACCTGGCCTGGGCCTGCTGAGCAACAATGACAACTACAACAAAAACAACAACAAAAAATAGACAGGTGTTGTGGTGGGCACCTATGATCCCATCTACTTGGGAGGCTGAGGCAAGAGAATTGCTTGAGCCCAAGAGTTTGAGGTTGTTGTGAGCTGTGATGCCATAGCACTCTACCAAGGGTGGACATAGTGGGACTCTGTCTCAAAAAAAAAAAAAAAAAAGTTGCCAAACTGATGGAGTCAAATAAGTACTGAATTTTCATTTTGGAAAATAGACTTTGTTCAAGTTCGTATTTGAATTCTGTATTGAATATATATTGGACAAAAATGCCCAGACAAAACTCAATCTTAAAGGTAATGTTGAATGGACACAGTGTAGGACAAAACCAAGATTAACAACTTCATAGGCAGCTGGCCCTCAGGTGGCACACATGCATAATTTAATTTTAGAATTCATTCCAAATAATGTTTTGATTCATTTCCTTAGATTGATTGATTGATTGAATGGAGTGTAAAAGAAAATATATAATATTTAATGATGAAGAAAGAGTAAAAGGAAAACAACCCAATAGCATAATTTAGCTGGTTAGTATAATGAATTCATTTCCTTTTGCTACTGTAACAAATTACCATAAATTTAGTGTCCTAAAATAATGCAAATTTATTTTCTTACAGTTTTTGTACAGTTTGAATTTTTGATATTCTGGATATCAGAAATTCAAAATTGGTTTTACAGGGCTAAAGTCACGGTGTCTGCAGAGCTGCCTTCTGAGTGTACTAGGGGAGAATCTGAGGCTGCCTGCACCCCTTGGCTCACAGTCACATCATGTGAACCTCTGTGTTCTTCCCATCTTCTCTGACTCTGACCTTATTTCCTCCCTCTTATAAGGACCATTATGATTTAGTTGGGCTCACTCAGATAATCCATGATAATATCCCTCCTTCAAGAATATTAATCATACCTGCAACATCTTGTTTGTCATATGAGATAATACACTCATAGGGTTTGGGGATAAAGATATGGCCATCTTTGGAGAACTTCATTTTGCCTACTGACATTGGAGTAAGATTTTGAATTGAACTGTTTTGCTATTTGTATTTTTCCTTAAATGTTGTATTATAAAATAAAGCACACAAAAAATGTTGATGAGATTTTTTAAAATTCTCAATAGTCTCATACAACTGTTAAGAGAATTTTGGGTTATTTTGTTCTATCTTTTAACATTATGATAATCATACAACACAAAAACATTTACTTTTTTTTTTTTTTTAGTTACTAAACATGGGTAAAGTAAGCTTTGGGAACTTTGAAAATGTAACAGAAGTTTACATTGGTTCAGTTCACCTTTCCATATAAGTTATGAATTTTTTTTCTTTTTTTGAGACAGAGTCTCAAGCCGTTACCCTGGGTAGAATGCCATAGCGTCACAGCTCACAGCAACCTCCAACTCTTGGGGTTAAGCAATTCTCTTGCTTCAGTCTCCCAAGTAGCTGGAACTATAGGCACCTGCCACAACGCCTGGCTATTTTTCTGTTGTAGTTGTTATTGTTGCTTTAGCTGGCCTGGGCTGGATTTGAACCTGCTAGCCTCGGTGTATGTGGCTGGCGCCTACCTACTGAGCTACAGGTGCTGCCAAGTTATGAGCAATATTTAAAAATTAGGTAACCATTATTCTTCTTTGAAAGCCAAATCAATATTCATCATTACTCTTGTGGATATTAAATTAATTTTCATTTTTTGAGTTCTTATTACCAAGTACTATTTCAGAGTTAAATTTGGTGGACAGAGAGGTATTTTCTGAAAACATATTCTTACAATAGACAATCAGGTTGCCTCTTAGGAAACACTCACATTTTTGGATCCAATGGAGAACCATCCACCCAAGTCCATGTTCCCTTCGTGGAGGTTAAGTTAAGGCCAATCCACATATAGTTTGATTGTCTCAGGTTTTTCTGTATAAAAGCCTAAAGAGAAGATAATGAGTAATAAAATGATTAGAATATATTAACATTTCAGACACACTAAAAAAAGTTATAGATTTTTATTGAAAAACTAACATTTTGCATGAGGATTCTTACCCTAATCAATTCATACCACTCATTATACCTACAATATATATAGTAGACAAAAGCAAGGTCTGTCATGAGTGAAGTGAGACACTCACTTCTAGCACAAAATTAAATCAGTTGCCCTAAACCCAGTAATCAAGATAAACGATGGTTTTATGCAAGGATGAGAAGATAATTGAGAAAATCCATTTTTAACTACAAAAAAGTTAATGGCATAACTGATACTAAACCAATTACCATTTCAGGTTGGTCCTGTATGATCAGTAGATGAGATTTTCTTCCCAAACAATACATGTAACTGTCACTCCAATTTTTCATTTCAGCAGAGAACCAATAACACTTCCCTTGATATTTGAGCCATTCTGATGGACACAGTACTATAAGGATATGGAAAAAACAAAATAAAGGTAAATTACATATGTATATGCATTTCTGAAAATTGGCAGTGAGAACAATACTTACATATTGCATGAAGAAGAGTGAAGCCATAATATAATCACTCATAGTAAAGTGTTCAGACTCAGAAGGTGGCTAAAACACAAATGATAATTCATAGTAATTTAAGATAATTTCCTAAGAAGAAGCAAAACCTAGACATGGAGGGGCGGAGCCAAGATTGTGGACTGCAGCCAGCTTTTTACAGAAGCTCCCATCCAGAAGGAGGCTTAAAGGACAGAAGTTTAGCAAGGCAGCTGATAGTTTGGAGCAGAGCCAAGAGAGAAGATTGAAGAGCATATTTCAACCTTCCTGAGGCGAGCTGCAACCGCCAAAATACAATCAAAAGGTAAAAACTCCACCACCAAGCGGACGGGAGTCCCCACCCCACAAAAAGGGCTTTCAGTTTACTCCATGCAAAGAAGCAAGCAGAGTTCAAACTTGCTCCCACTCTATCCCACGGGAGAGACCCCCTAAAAACTGGACCTCCTACCCCTGTTCGTATGCCACGGCACCCTCCTGCCAAGCATAAAACTATAAAACTGTATAAAACTGTATATAGTCCCCACCTGCAACCTTGAACTCTGAGGATTCCCCACCCACCCTGAGGTCTGGAGGTTTGTTACCGATGGAGTCCAGATTCTTGGGCATCTCCTTGAGAGAAGTGGAGGGGGAAAGGGCTGGGCTCCATGCTGACTGTGGCACAGGTGTGAGGAGAAGAAAGTTGGCTCAGAGGAAGCCATACAGCAACAGTGGTATCCTGAGCTGCGAACTGACACCATTTTAGATAGGCAAGCCCCATCTCTCTGGGCAACCAGAGAGTCTGGACAGCAGCCACAGGTAGAACGGACTTGGTAACTTTCCTAAGTAAAGAGACTGTTAGCACCGGCCCTCAGGGGAATACTGAGACAAAGGCAGTGGGTAGGCAGAGGTGGGGATTGACACCTGAGTGTAAACTCTAATTGTTCCCTGCCAAGAGTGGAGTTCTTCATCAGCTCTAGCAGCCTCTGACTTGCAGAGGAATCTAGCCGGGACAGAAGCCCAATTTAAATACGCAAGGCCCCCCATGCCGAACTCAGATTTCCAGGCAATTTTGGCAGTCATAAACTTCAGGAGCAGGTGCCTACTGGAGTGAATAGGGTCACAGACCTGGGGGATTACGAGTGACTGGGTGCAAGGTGGGGGAGGAGGTATTAACCTTCCCAGACTAACCAATTTGCTGGGTGGGTCCCTTTGCCCTCACAGAGCACTGGAGCAAGTTATATTTGAGCAGTGAGCAGACCCCTCTTATCTAGCTGCTGGAGACATTTGAACTCTTCCACCTGAAATGGGTGCTGATTGGGACACTCATTTGGACTGCTTAAACCTGGCAGACCACCCAGGGACTATTCAAAGGGTCACCCTGGGTATATGGTTGAAGGAAGATTTGATTTTCCTTGCCCAACTGTTGTTTGTAGGTTGGGCGGGGCGACCTAATTGCTGGTATTTGTCCACAGCAGAGACTTCAACCAAGAGTAACTGAATCACTAGGGTAGGACTGAGATCAGCTGAAAATAAAACAGAGCCACTTAACCCCACCACACCCAGCAGGTCCCCAGTCTCTTAGGCTGTAACACCATATGGGTCCTTGACAAACTTCAAGGGGAAAAGCCAAACAGGGTAAAATAAACATGGAGCAGAATCAGTGGAAAGGCTCTGGTAATATGAATAAACAGAGTAGGTCACCCCCCCAAGAAAAGATGTGGCTGGTAATATGAATAACCAGAGTAGGTCAACCCCCCTAAGAAAGGATGGGGCAGATGAAACTGAAGATCCCCTTTATAAACAAATGGCTGAGATGTCAGAAATTGAATTCAGAATTTGGATTGTAAATAAGATTAATAGAATAGAGCCAAAGATAGAACTAGAAATTCAAGGAGCATTCCAAAAGTTCACTCAAGAATTCAACAAATTCAAAGACAAAACTACCAAAGATTTTGAAACATTAAGGTAAGAGATTGCAGCCCTCAAAGATCTGAGAAATATGTTAGAATCTCTTGGTAACAGAGTGCAGGAGGCAGAAGAAAGGATCTCAGATGCAGAAGACAAAGCTTCTGAATATGTCCAAACGTCCAAAGAGATCAGAAATGGAAAGCAAAAATGGATCATTCTCTCAGAGAGCTCTGGAATAATTTGAAGAAAACTAATATTTGCCGTATAGGAATCCCTGAAGGCGATGAAGTTGCTTCGCAAAACACAGAGGCTCTTCTTTATGAAATTATGAAAGAGAACTTTCCAGATATGCCAAGAGATACTGAAATTCAGATTGCAGACAGCCTCAGAATCCCAGCACAACTCAACCTGAATAAGACATCCCCTAGACACATCATAATTAACTTCACTAAAGTTAATATGAAAGAGAAAATACTGAAAACAGTGAGATGTAAGAAAATCATAACCTACAAGGGGAAGAATATTAGAATAACTATAGATCTCTCTGCCAAAACCTTTCAGGCAAGAAGAGGGTGGTCATTGACATTTAATCTCTTAAAACAAAATAACTTTCAGCCCAGGATCCTGTATCCAGCTAAACTGAGTTTCATTTATGATGGAGAAATTAAATACTTTCATGACATCCATGCATTGAAGAAATTTGCCGTAACTAAACCAGCTCTCCAGGATATTCTCAGACCTATTCTCCGTAATGACAAGTGCAATCCTCCATCACAAAAGTAAAGTAACTCAGAAACTATTGATCAAACTCCAACATCTACAGTGGTGAAAACGTCCACTGGACTTTTGAACAACTCAATACCTAAAATTTCATCAGGATTATCAATAATTTCAATCAATGTGAATGGCTTAAATTGTCCTCTAAAGAGGCACGGATTGGCTGATTGGATACAGAAACTCAGACCAGACATCTGTTGTATACAAGAATCTCATCTTACCTTAAAAGACAAATATAGACTCAGGGTGAAGGGATGGTCATCTATATTCCAGGCTAATGGAAAGCAGAAAAAAGCAGGTG